TTCATTTATTTACGTTTTCTCTTAAAAAATTCTTTCTCCTTCCCCTGATCTTAATCCATCTTTCCCAAAAATTTGTACTTAAAACCAATCTGCCCTTTCTCCAAGAGTTTCATGCTAATGGCTAATCTCCTCATCCAGGCTTAGCACAATAAAAACTGCTCTCAAGCCTTTACCTTTTTGTTCGCTAAAAGCGGTAGACGTTAAAACGACGAAATCCGATTCCTAAAGTGAACGACGTTTCAGTGCAAGTTTTTTTTCTGCGCTAGTCTACGGTTGACGCACATTTGCACTGAATGCTATGGCTGTACTTTATCCAACTTTATGGGTCCACATTATTGCTTTTATTGATGTTGTAAAAACGTTCCAGTGTCATTAGCGTTGTTCTAGTGTGTGCCCAAGCCCTGAGGGTTTTATTTAGCCAGGGCTGGGACTTTTTTTTCTGGAGTCGGGTCATTTTTCATCCATGGCTAATTTTCTGGTGAATAAAGTGCACAATATTTGCGTTCTTAATGTATTTCGTGCCACATTGAGCGCAAAAACTTTTGCTGTCTTACTTATGTTCAGCGATGATGCTTAATAGTATCAAAAAACGAATTTTTGCTAATAAATATAGTAAAGGCATCCAGTAAATTGTAGCCATGGCGTACGTAGTGTAAATGCACACAAAACGTGGTCCGCGCATTTGAATCATTGAAATTTACTGTCGGTAAATGAAAATTAGCGTACTTGGTTAGCTATATACATAGATGAATCATTTCTCAATTCTACCCATTCCTCTTTCAGCCCTATTATTTTCTTCCCTTACTTCCAAAATAAGACTACCTTAAATGTTTGAATTCCAAAAGGCGAAGAAGAGGGTTTAAAATCTAAAGAGATCTGTGAATGATGAAAAAAAGCTTCCAAAGAATAGGGAAATGCACTTCTTCAAAGCGCAATATTTTTTTGGCTTAGCAATAAAATCCGTCCAAGAAGGGATGACCCAGGCGGATTTCAATCGCAGCTTCTGTGGAACATGCTTTTGGGAATTTTTTTTTGAGAATCTTTGGTCGCTCATGAAATGCACTTTCTTTCTTTTTTTTCGGCTAACCGAAAAGCCCTTTTGAGAAGCGCCAAGAAAGGGTGGTCATTCGTAGCTTTTATGGGACGATTCTCTTGAATTTCAAATTTCTTCAACAGCTCCAAGCGATTATATATAACCTCAATTCAACTGGCTTGGCTTCAAGAAGGCGGAGCTTTGTGACCTAATTAAGGCCGCTCGCGCCCGCAATGCACCTGCTTCTCTCTCGCGCGAGTGCTTTCTGGTCATTACCTAGCCTTAATTAGGTCACGAAGGCCCGCCTTCCCGAAGCCAAGCCAGTTGAATCAAATGGTATGTGCATTATTTTTGCTTTGATAGCCATAACGTGGCTAAGAACTCTAATTATGATTTAACTATGGCAATTTGAATTTTTTTCTAGTTTTATATGCCTAGATATCAATTTCTGCCGGTTTATTCATAATTTATTTAGGAGAATATCTAGTACTGCTAGCAAAAGTAAGTGAAATAGACGACAATTTCTATTTTTTATCAAAATTGTTAGGTTGGTCCGAAAGTTTTGTCGCACCATTTTCAAAAAATCATAACTTCTTCCTAACACAATATTTTTGCATGGTTGAAAACCTGTTGGAAAGAGCAATTCATACACTTTCTATAATATATCATTTCGAATGCACGAGAAGGTGAAATTTTTTCAATAGTAATAATAATTTTTCAAATAATTTTAATAATCAGTTTTTTTTTTCAAAAAGCGTGATTTTAAGCCAGTAAATAGACTCATTTGCCTACGTAAGCGATCAAGTAGAGTTAGTAATCACATGACAAAGCAGATGCATTATCCAGCCAATTTTATATGGTGATGAAGCAGCAGAATCTCTCCATGGATGTGTAGGCGATATTTTGAATCAAGAGCCTCGCATTGGGAAAAAAGAACAAGCGACTGCTTGTTCCCTTCTTTTTTTCCAAAATGCGCTGTTCTTGTGATGTCAAATAGCGGCTGTTCATCAAGGCGTTTTTCAGCGCTAATTTGAACCATGTGACATCAGCGAACGCATTGCTCGAGGTCATCCTATTGACGTAACTGCGTCCAGCTGTTACTATCGTTAGCTCGCTCTCTGCTTTTAGATAGTTCTTGGTTTGTTCCAGTTTCCAAAATGTTTTACCCTTCAAGGTCACTCCCTTTTTTTTGGAAACCAAAAGGAACTAATTTTTTACTATATTTTTCTTGGACTTACTCTTTCCAAATAAGAAAAATCTGTTTCTGTTTTTTGTAGTTTTCCTTTCGTATAAAATTAGAACTTATCAATATTTTAGGTGCAAATCCGCAGCCCTAACTAATTGGTGGTCGACAAAAAATGGCACTTTTTTGCCAATTTTGGAATCTAAAGTCACAATATATTGAAAAGGTTTACTTTGATATAAATAATAGATAATACCAGCATTCTTGAACGTAAAACCAATTAGAATCGCACTCGAATCTATTCTGCGTTGAAAATATCTCATTGTTTCCGTAATTCTGCATTTACACCATTTGCGCAGTTTTCAGTAGCTGAAAAAAATCTTAAACTCCCCCCCCCCCCCGCCGCTTTCACAAATGTTCTGGTTGCACTTGAAATTATAGGGAATCTAAATCGTACTGGACGAGCTATTTATGTTGCACAGTTTACAAAGTTTTTTGTAGTCGTTCCCCTATTTCCAAATTTTTGATTTTTTTGTAAATTTTCTCTGAACTCCATCTGAAATTGAGGTGCTATAAATTCCTGAAAATTGCTACTGACCTCTAATTAACTTTCATAAATCTTCCTTCGATGCGAATAATGTGCACAAAATTAAATTTATTCAATAGTCATTGGGTTCCAGTCTCTCGGAAGCCTCAATATCTAAACTAATTGTTTTTCCTTCCATGAATCCTCGTCATTTCTTGCGTCATTTGATTTTTTTGCGTGAATTCCAAAGACTGCAGTGACATCGTCCGCATTTGCACAGCTGCTTCCTGAAAACTCAAACATCCAGACAGAGAACATAGGCTGTGAAAAAGCTCTTTGAATGTGCGTGGGAAGTTGGAGGTGTGAGGTGGGGGGGGGGGAAGAGGTCAGGTGTCATACTTTTATGCGCTCATAAAATATAGCATTTATGCTCCATTCAGTGCTGATGACGTCATCGCTGCGAAAAACATGAGTTTTGTGTACTTTTGAATAGACTAGTCTAGAAATTTCGCTAAAAAATGAACAGCTTCGCAAGCTCCGCCCATTTTAAAGGTCTAGGGATTACCCATCGGTCGAAGCTCGTCGTCTCACGAGTTTTGCATTGTGTTTTCTGTTTTCGCCGGCATGCCTCCTCCCCTCCTCCGGACTACAAATGAGATTCTTCGACGGCGCGCTTCGTTGTCCTTTTAGTTTTTCTATTCTTCAGCTGCAGTGACGGGATGCATCGACTCGGGGAACGGGGGCTATTAAGAAAAGTCTTCGAGCGGAATTCTTTTGAGGAACGCGCGCATGACGAGCAAATGGCTTTGGCTAGTTTTGGTGATTTTGCCAAGAAATTAGGGCTAAATAGTCTTTTTTTAGATTTTTTTCTTCTGAGAACATTCTAGTGTGTCGTACACACGCAATTCTTTAACTAAGAGTCCAAAACTATTTTTCTACTTTCTTTATGTCTTCGAGAGCATACACAATTTTTTCTAATTTTATTCCCTTTTTTTACATTTCTCTAAGAAATTGGGCTAAATAGTCTTCTTCTAGAATTTTTCTCTTTTTTTCCTTCTTAGAATATTTTAGTGTGTCGTATGCGATTAATTTTTTAGTCACCGAAAATCCAAGATTGATTTCCTTTCAAATTTTGCCATACGTTTGTGAGCGCATTTCTTTGTTTTATTTTCTTTTTAGCTCTATCTTCATTCCTTTTGTCTTCGCTTTGACGTTAAATATTTTTACCTTTGGATCACGATTCTCTCACCTAATATTCCCTAGATTTTGCTCACCTACTGATCTGAACGAATATGCAATTTACCTCCATTTTTTCCTAGTTTATTTCTCAACACATGATTGTTTTAAGTCTCTAAGCCCATCGTCTGCCACCCCGTTTGATTTCAAATATCAAAAAGTCACATAGTTGGGTAGTTAGCAAAATCTATTGGTTTGGCTTGCAAAATCAAAAAAACTGCTATATTTATACTTTCCAGAATTTTCTATTCCATTTGCCATTTCAACCTTTTCCAAGATAGATTCAAATCATCAATGACACAGCACGAATTTATCTTCTGTGTAGCACCCAAGCAATCCTCTCAAATTGTTTAGAGGCAAGTAAAGCTCAAAGTAGAAATAGCTTCCATTTATTTTTTCAAGTCAAAATTATGTTTGAACATCATTTTGATGACTCAATGAGCGTGCCCATATATAAGCTTTTACGATTTTGTAGCGTTTTAAATCTTGCGTCACCAAGCCTCTTAGTACCTAGACGAATGAAATGGAAACCCTGTAATTTAAGAGGTAAGTGAGCAATTCTTCATGTTAAATGCTCTGTTTCCTGACATTTGTTACTGCAATAAGTACAAACACATGAAATCTTCGTGAGCCACAAGACACCTGGATATATCATATTGAACGTTTGCACTTCTGACTCAGTAAACTTATGTTTTCTCCATGTGAGTCATTGGCGGTTAGGCTTTGTCGCAAACTTTTGAGAATTCGCATGCTGGATAATATTGAGTTCACACCAAAATAATATGCTAAAAAAATGTATGCGGCACTGAACATTAGTTTGACCCATGAATCCTTTTATAGTCGTACCTTCAAACTAATATTTTTTGAAAACTATGGTATTGACTAAGTAAGCTATATAATCATATAATATCTTCGAGGATTTACAGACCCGTTACAGGCAAAGTTTGAAAATTGAGCGCATTATTTTTTTTTCGATTTCTGTTCATCAGAAAAATGCAGCAAGTGTACATATAAAAAATCTGATGGGGAGATTATATATGTGAGCAAGTGGGAACTTTGCAAAATGTTTTTGAACTGGGACACGATTCTTTTTGGTTTATTGGGCTTTCGGATTTTTTTTCCATTTTGTCTTGAAACTCGAAGTGGATCAAGCCTGATACGAACTTTTGAAAGCCATATTGTAGAGTTTGGTTTGAACTTTCGAAGGATGCCCCGTATCCCATTAGAAATCATAGAAGAGCAGACTTACGCTGGTGAAAACTCAGATATGAAAAGAAATATGAGACAGCTAAATAGATTCAAGTTTAAGACACCAAAAAACGAGAAAAAATACAATTTACTGAAAAACATGTAAAAGTCCTGGAGTATAACACATAGAAATTCCCAGGAAATCGATTATTTCTCGGGATATTGAGCAATTTTGAAATTTTTAAAAAAACAGTATATTACTTCAATCTATCATAGAGTTTCTTACAACATTTATTCTCGATTGAATAATTGCGTTGCCTCAGTCATCCATGACTTGATTAACAGCATGAATGTGTGCATTTATACAATGAATCATATAGAAAAGTTTCTTTTTCCTAGACGTTGTCTGATTGTAAGAAATTTTTTTATTTGGTCGTATGAATCAATCCTGTGAGAACTTTGCTAGTTGACGAGCTCGAAGGCCTAGATTTTTTTCTGGCAATAACTCTTCTACTTTACTATGTAATTTTATACACATAGCAGCTGTCATATGTTTGAAAAAAATTTCGTACTTTCATATTTATTACAAAGCTAGCAAATATTACCTTAAAAAATTCTATTTTATTCAAAAATTGGGGAAGGTTTGCGCAACTTTTCATATTTAGCAATGCGACGAAAAGACTGATTTCGCTTAAAGGCAGCGTACACCCAAAACAAATGCAACAGATGTTGCAACAGCAACTGCAACTGCAATTGCAGCTTACGCTGTTATGGATTCGTCCGGAGGAGGCGGAGCGAAAGAAAAGGGGCGGCATGAAAGAAAATTGAGGGGGGTTTTCTCCGCTCAGAAGCAACATTGGGAGACGGGACCAACGCAGTTGGTCTTCTTCTGGGCCCAGTATATACACGGTGTAGAAAGATCTTGGAAATTCGGTAACTCAAATTTTATGTGTACGCTGCCTTTAAACTTAATTTGCTCATTTTTTTCAAAGGTCCACTAAAAGTTGAAATGATTTCTATGCGTCTTATTTTTTTTGTAATAAACTACAATATGATTACAGCTATATCTCTTCAATTACTCTATATTAATCTCATTGATCGTCCTGTCCTCTTTAGCTGCAGTTTGGAGTTTTCTTATCATTTAGTCTTCCCGCAGTCACCATAAATTTTCGTTCTACTAATTTCACAAGCAGAGAAATTTTTTCCTTTGCATTACTTTTACAAACACATCCCTTCATTGTTCAGTAACTGGATTGGCATGTGGAAGGCGGGGCTTCGTGACCTGATTGGGGCTAGGGAATGTTTAGAGAGCACGTTCGCGAGAGAGATGCAGAGTGCGTTGCGGGCGCGAGAGGTGCATTTCAGGCGCCAATTTCGTTGAATTAAAGGGTAACTCCATCAAAGGTTCATTTTGAAGGCTTCATGAATTTGTGGACTAATCTAGTTATATGACTTCAAGCTCTTAGTTTACTGTTATGAAAAATTGCTTTTTCGAATTTTTTTTCTAAAAAAGATTTTGCTCACAATGGCTAATCGATTTTCACTTTCTCCTTGAAAGGAGTCTCATTACACTTTTGGTTTTTGGCGCCAGTCATTTTATTTCAACCATATCAAATTCCATTTTTCTAGACCATTCTTTCAGATATGTGGATGGAATGACGGAGGCTTTGAATCTTAATGGTATGACTGTGATGTGTGAGGGCAAGGATCAGCCGCAATTCGGGTAAGCAATTTTTTTCTTTTTTTTTGCATCGCATTTTCAATTTGATTCATTTGGGATATAGTTTCTAAAATAATTTTTTTCTATTGTGATTTACTGTAGTAAATTTGTCTGTTGATATAGTGCGCCTGCGGATCCGACAACGTTTACGCGTCAAAATTGGCCAATAAGCGCATTCTGAAGTTTTGTGCCTGTTTTTTTTACGCATGTATATTCTCGACAGTTCACATTACTCGATTTTGCAATTCACGTGCTGACTTTATAGATTTGTCCCTCGGTTTGCGCCCTCTGCGGTGCCGACAACATTTGCGCGTGAAATGGCCATTGAGCGTGCTTTTTTTTGCAATCTCATTTTCTGCGCCCCATCTGTTGTCAAAAATACAAGACCTTATTCGCCGTTGATTGAATACGCAATACCATATTTTTCAGCCTCGACGTATCGCCATGCTCTCCGCGCGGCGAAGAAATCATGCGAATGCGGCAGGAACTGGAGTAAGCCTTGAGACTTATCGATTTATCGATTTTTTATTGTTGAATGTTTTAGAGCTGCTCGTCGTTCAATAGCCGAAAAAGACGAGAAAATGTGTCGAATGTCACGAATTCAGGATTCGGTAGATGCTGAAGTTCAAGAGCTTACCGAAAAACTGTTTCAGGTGAGATCAATAATCGATCAATAGTTAGTCAATAATTGTGTTTGTATAGGAAGCCTACAGAATGGTCAACTATGCAGAGGAACGACGTGAAAAAGCTGAGAAATTGCTGAATGAGTCAAAATTACAGGTTAGCACACGTTGTATCACCAATATTATATCAGCAAAAATCAATATATCGATTGATAGAGCATCTCACATTTTGGGGGTAGCTGCAAAAAGGGGCAGTTCAAATTGCGTGCCCAAAGGGGCTCCATTTGCAGCTTTTTTGGCGGGAAACACAGTGGATGATATTCTTGGCCAGACAGGTTCTGACGCGATGTAGAAACTGGCGCAGTAGTAGGCGGGGCTTCAAGTTGCTTTTTTTACATGCATTGCAAGGCATATATGCATCCTCATGCGCTCCAACCTCAAGCTCCAAAGAGTTTAATCGAAAGCCGAAAAGTTTTGTTTTGTTCTCTGTTTTTTTGTGTTAAATATATTTCCTTTTTACCACTTTTTCAAAAATTTATTGATTTTTTATTCCAGGTTGAAGTTCTAACAGCCGAAGTAGCAGCATTGAAAGTGCTTGTACAGACACCAGGCATGGGTCACAATCACTTCCTTCGCACTTCACCTGAGCATAAATCTGCATTGGCAAAGCTGTTCTCAACTTCATGTAAGTTGATTTACAGTATAGTGAATGATGAATCGATTTATCGATTGAACACGACATTCTTTAGCTTCAGCAAAGCGATCAAGCTCGTCTGGGGCTATACCGCCAAGAAAATCTTCAACAATGCCACCGTCTACGGCGTATCTGTCGAGGGAACGGGAAAGAGAAACCGAGCAGAAGGAAGCAGACCTGGTTGAGGAGGTAAGGTTACGTTGCTTGAGTAGAGAAAATTAGATCGCCTGGGTCCCGCGCGGATATCTGCAACAATTGTGGACTTATATCCATCACAGCTCATGTTAGCTATCCGCGCGGATGAAACCTAACAGCGCCCTATTGTCCTCTCCCATGTTGCTTGATTGTTTACCACAATTTGGACGAGTTCCAGGTAGACCCAATATTGATGTCCGAGTTTACGTCATGGCGAGAAGCCGGACATCCTTTTGTGCATCATCCATTTATGGATAGAATCAATACTGAGGAAATTGCACCTTGTATGTTGTTTCCAGCAAAGGATGTGAGTGGGTAGTTACTGTTCCTACTGTAATATTACTGTAGCTATTTGTTTACAGCTCTCTGACGCGATTCTAGACTCTATAGCTGCGAATAAGCTGGAATTGGAGCCTGTACATGAAAATAAGCCTTCTGTAATGTGAGTGAAACAGTGTTACTGTTTCAAGAGAATTTTTTAAAACTTTTTTTAAAGGTTTTTGAAGTTTTATTTATATATTTTTGCTAGATCGTTTATTTACATTTCAGGCCCTGTGCTTTGACCAAAGTTTCGAGGTTTTGTCCTTACCGTGTACGAGTTGCCGAAGATGCCGAATGGCATAGAATATCATTACTAGCCCGAAATAGGGTAGGCTACAACCTTTAAAACCCGTAATTTTCACATTTATTTTCATTGATTTTATCGATTTTTTCAGATAGCTGCTGTTTGCGACTATTACACATTTATCCGCTATTTACGGCAAGGATTGATCAAATCGGGTGTACGAGACACATACTTTGATATGATGACATTAAGGAAGAATATGTGCCTAGCAAAACTTGGCCTTGGATTCGTGCCAAAAACGACGCTGCGACCAGGATTTTAGCTTCACCTATGCATATTTTATCTTATGAATCTCGACATATGCACAACGTGGGGCGAAAGCATATTTGAAGAAAAAAATGGCGAAATGTTATTTTTGAGCCTCTGAATGCCAAGAGGGGTGCCCCAGAAACTTCACAGGAATTTAAAATAATTTGAGGAATACAAAAAATAGGTGAGAAAGCAAAAACACCTCTTTCCTCTTTCATGAATTGGTCAATCATTAGTTCGATAAACATGTATCTTCAAAAATATAGCCAATCACAGAGCGCTTTGAGGTTACTGTAGGTATACGGTATGGGAATATGGATCTGCTTGACCTGTTGAGTGGTTTCATATGGTATAACTACATATGTTGCATCTGTTCATTATGGTAGTTCTCAGAGCGCTTTGAGGTTACTGTAGGTATACGGTATGGAAATGAATCTGCTTGACCTGTTGAGTGGTTAGTTTATATGGTATAACTACATATACGCTGCATCCGTTCATCAAGGTAGTTCCATAATATGGTATTACTGTAGGTGTATGGTATCCTGACTCACAGCTGTTTTACAATAATAATTTTCGGTCTGGTTTTAAAAAATTGTATAATCTTTGATTCAACTGGCTTGGAGAAGGCGGGGCTTTGTGACTTAATTGAGGCCGCTCGCGCCCGCGACGCACCTGTGTCTCTCGCGAAAGTGCTCTCTGATTACCTAGCCTCAATTAGGTCACAAAGCCCCGCCTTCCTGAAGCCAAGCCAATTGAATCAAATGGTAGATTTTCGGCTCTAGTTAGTGTGTAAAGAATCCCATCCATAATTCCAATATATATCTTTGCTACAGCCACGTCCACTAATCTGATTTTTTTCTTGACATTTTGTGCCCACCTTCTCTTCCTTTATCGATTTTTCAGTTATCGTGACGTCACCTCATATGCCATCGTGTTCACTTCACTTAAAATTAGATTCCTTACAAACTTTTCCAATTACAGTCTTTATCGATTGATTGCTAAGAAAACAGTGCTAAAGTCTATTCCTCTAGGCTCTCTTCTCATTGCCGCAAGGATCGATGATCAAATATTGATTTTATAAAAATGCTTTTGTTACAGTCATTTTGGTGCTCTTATCTCATTTCCATGGTGCAGAAAGCTGCATTTTATTCCCGAATCTGTTCTTTCATGTGCTTTTGGTATCTTGTGTCCCCCCTCTTTGTAACAGTTGTCCATTGCTAAGATCGTCGACGGCGACAATTGCTGTACACATGCCCCATTACGTAGATGCAATGTGTATGTTTATTGGCAGTATGAATAGTAATAAAGACAGATTGAACAATGTCTTCATTTTATCGATTTATCGATTTCTCCAGAATGTCCGAAGCAACGCCGTGTATCTTCTCTTGGACTGATTTTGTCCTTGTATGGTCTTCAGGTAATTGCGATACGGCTGCTTCATAGGAAGCATATAAACTGACAATGGTCCATAAGCCAGCAACGGGAAAAATTTCTTCATACCATAACTCCAGCTGAAGTAAAGAAGCAGAAACTTGAAGAGCATAGCCGAAACCCTTCGTCTAAGAAAAATTAGATGCCTGGGTTCACTGAGTAGAAACTGTTTTGGGTAGACCTCAAGTAGGCTATACCCAAGCGGTAGCTCATAAAACTCATTCGTAGCCGCGTAAATCGACTTCAAAGTCTCGCCCAGTACAGTAATCCCCGGGGAGGACGCATTCTCGACCATGGTACTGGGCGAGAGTTCAAAGTTGGGTTGCATCTTATCAATGAATCAAATAGTTACCAATCGGGCTACGGATTATCTTATCTCTGATTTATCCGCATGAAATATCGAGGCATCCAAATGCCCGTCAATGACCTGCTGACCTGCTCTAATGTCACAACATTCTTCATTTCTGGCAATAGCGAGGTGATAGTGCCGAGGTAGTACTGTAGCAATACGGTGGTGTGTTCCTTTCTACTTTTATAGCTGAGTCCAATGCAGAATAGCCGCAGCAAATCTTCAACAGGATTTCCAAAATGGGTCATCTAAAAAATCAACATTTTGTTGGGAAAGAAAACGTGACAATGTCAAAGTTGGAATAGGCAATTGAAGAGAAAAGTGAGAGCGATTTAACGTAAAAAAATATTGATAAACTACGCGAATTTTGTTGGTGAGTGAACATATACCGTAATTTTACTTAATAGAATATAATAGATTTTTGAATTTTGTCTAGGCATAAAGAATGATATCATAAACTCAAATGACCATAGATAGCTGAAATAAATTCAATAACACAACTCAACTGGTAATCAATAATTGCTACAGCATCCCCGTTCTTCCATAGAATATTACTAGAATATAAATCACCATGGACAAGTAAAGGACAAAATGCTAAAAAATCGAATTAATTATAGTAATCGGTAGTTTTCGAAGCGTATCTTTCGAATTACCGTAATTTTAAGCCACTTACGACATGAACTTACGACATGAAGAATGTAGTCTCGAGATGATGTTATGGTCAAGAATTTTTGGCAGTGCTTTGATGACATCATCTAAGGTGTAAGCCACTTCAGGTGCCCATGTAGACATTCGTTTGAAACGTTGGATAAGAGTCTGAATAGGGGCAAGATATAAGAAATTACGTTGCAAACGTCATTCGCCCATTACCTCTTGACTAAGTGTAGTAGAGGCTAAAGTTTCAAATACATTATGGTTCAGTTGCCTACGTACAGTATCCGGGAAGTTGTGACAACCATATTGAATGCCAGCGTACAACTTCAAAACCTGAGGAAATTCCATGAAGCATCTTCACATTAAATTTTGAGAGTAGAAAAGTTTTTGAAATTGTTAATTCTTCCTAGATATTTACAACACACGATTTTCTCTACTACAGATGACTTCCATGAAAGACGATGACCTTTGTCTTTCCGTCTAATGGTTATAAAAGTGAAAATTAGACTTTGATTTTTTTCTGGAAATTGCTCAGAATGTGTGATGCTAACTCATACACTCAGAAGGATTGTGAATGGGTAATCGAAGCATATAAGCAATTCTTATGAAATACTGATTATACGACTAAGTGTAAGCAATGCAAAGATGCATAACCAAGACTTTCAAATTGCAATTTCGAATAAAATGAAGACGAGTAAGAGCAAATATTTTTCATCAGAATGGCTGAAAAATAAATAGTAATAAAAAATAAAATATAGTAATAAATAAATAAAGATAAATAAATGAATAAATAGATAAAATAGTTATTAAATAAATAATAAAAATATAACAAAAATAAATAATAAGAAATGATTTCTGGATACCTGCAGTTTGTCGTCGCAAAAAGCGGATCAAGGAAATCATAGATTTATTCTGCTATCAGAGAACTCGATAATGATATCGAGATAGGCAAAAATGAACACTGATCTACTCACCGACTTCATCTGTTCAACGCCTAACTCTTCGTAGACAGGTAACGTATTACATCCTTCGAAGTATTCCATACAAATGATACCACGGTCATCTTTGTCCAAAGCATAGGATAGGAATGTGTGAGGAACTCCAGGAACATCACGGGCATATTGATAGAATAGTGTTTCAGTATTGTGGTACTGCAATAACTATTTATTGATGACAGATAGAAACTCGAGAATTTGGTACATTATTAATAGTTGGTGCATGCATAATCATCGAAATGGAAAGAAGAATCAAATCTAGAAATTGCGATGAGATTAGCCTAAAGGAAAACGTGGGCAAAAGAGCGAAATTGTAACGGGAAACAGAGGCATTGTTGAGAGAACCTGATTTCTTATGGAAATGATTTTAAACCTCAGCGGGCGGTATCATGACTCAAAGTAAAAATAAAATTTTCATGTTTTAGTCCGTCTCAGCTTCTGGAAGCAAATCAAGCAACTGAGAGAAAAACGAGAACTGGTCCCCGAGTAAAATAATGTGCAAGAAAGCAAGCCGGCGACGGAAAACTTAAGCAAAAGTATCCTTTGATAATTGTAAAGACTAACGGGATTGAATCTGCTATTGAACTAATTCACCCTATATTACCAATATCTTGTCTTAAGGTGAAAAAAGAACTGGAAGATCATCGATACTTAGATATGAAAATGAAGAAATAAGCAAGTCCAAAAATTGCAGCGAAAACTGGTCTACAACATGAAACTATGCGCTAGGGGGCAATTGCATTCGCATCCAACATTTGCTCCTGGAACAAATTACTTCCCGATTTTTAGAAAACTATGGAATAACAGATATTTCAACTTTTCACCTGTTTTAGAAGATACTTAACATATGTGTAATCGCCCTGTGTCCATCCTCGACGTTTACGATTTTCCACATATGTAAGACATGTGGGAATCTGAAAGATAGGTGTCAATGCCAGTATGTCCGTATATCACTCACTTTAACAATTATCTTCCTTGGTAAACTTCCACTGCTATCAGACTCCATCAGACATATTCGCGAAAAGGAACCCTTCAAATTTAGGAGGGAAGATCATGCATTTTCGATAGCTGTTCAAAATTTTACCTCATTCTCACCTATTCGCTTGAATCTGGCATTGGAAAACTTAGTATTATGGAGTGAAGACAGCTCATCAATAAGCCATTTTTCAGTGATGTAAGTACCAAAAAGACCATCAGCTGATTCAAACATCTGTGTTATGCTTATTGAAGAATAATAAGAAAAGGTCAGGAGCGGTCAGTTATCGCGAAAGAAGAACGATTACAAATTAGAGCATGCTAAGAATGCTGATAAGAGAAGAACATTCGCTGGCGAGGCCGTTGGTGATAAAATATAGGTTATAAGAGACGACTTGCACAGTTTTTTGAAGCTCTGATTGTGTCAAATGGAAAGGGATTGTGAACGTTTGACGCCAATACTTTTTTACATTGATCGTATAATTCAAACCATAGAAACCAAAAAACTTAGCTTTTTGTCTCAATACCTCATGTTAATAGTTTCGGATATACGGTAGATCATGTCGTTAATATAGCAGGTCACGTGTGGACATTTGCAACAAGCCACACATCTCTATACGCTATAAGCTCGTATCACTTGTCTGTGCTGGTGGAGCATATCAGCGATATATTGTCCTCTGCCTAGCTTTGACAAGCTTAAAGCCTGTGAAAATCTTTTCAGAAAGAGGAGTTAAAACCTTTTGCATGTAGTAAATGGTTCATAAGATAATGGAGCTGGAACAAGGTTCAGAGAAGGAAGCAATCGTATGTGTTCTAATACAAATGGTACGTCACTAAAACTTTTTTTAATGTAAGAATCAGAGAAGATCTAATTGCCTCAGAACTTCTTCCAATGAGGAAAAGCAGAAATTATGAAGTTTCCATGTGCGCATGAGACAAGTTGAAGAAAGGCAAACCGACAAGTGTTCTTGCACTAAAATAGACTTTAACCCATTGACGACTACGCCTAATTTTGCTGAGGGACGACGCGATTTTGCCCAAAACTTTCGGCTTGGGAAAGTTTTGTGATTATTTACGAGATATAAAGTTGTTTTCTAAACAACTACAATCATTTTCTTGGAGGGCGAAGTTTACAAGTTCCAAGAGTGCAAAAAATTGGGAGAAATACTAAACTGTGGAAAAAATACTAGACTTGTAAAGGATATGATTTTGCAAGGAGTGTGGGCCACGGGTGGTCCATATCGTCCCTGGCGGCAGGAAGTGTGGGGCCACTGGTGGTAAACATCGTCGTCAATGGGTTAAACAGCGGTTATTGACAACTTCAATATATATTTAAATACTGCACATGTCAAAACATAGTTTAGGCAGGACAGATCAGCTTAACATGTCAGAATAGTTGCACAGGGTAGACTTGCAATATCAGGTAAGAACACTACGCCACGCCCGGCACGCGTTGGTTTGGAGCGCTTCGAATTTGCCAAGTTCCTCTTGACGTAAAGATCAGTAGGAAAACCTTTATCCAATCAAAATAACAACATAAACCGAAAAAATGCATTTTAAGGTATCTAACATATCAAAAAAGCAAAAGGAAAGCATTTCGAGTTGATTAAAGACTCTGTCATTGGGCATGGTACCATTTCAGTGCTTAGAATGTCGAAAATCTCCTGGACCAAAGCTTGGAGTAATATTGTATACACATAGCCCAAATTGGAGCCATGTGATTGTTTGTGCGCTGTAAACAAGCATTTTGTTTGTTTGAGTCTTGCGAATTCGCGCGCTTGCGAAGGAACACGTTCAACCCGTAAGACCTGAAATGTTCGTCGTTTTTTTCCGACGCTTTCCCCGCGATCTTTAAAAACGATATCCCCGTTGCTTCTAACTTCAAAAACGAAGTCCAGTCTGACCTCAGACCAGGGTCAAGCTTGTGATGCGACTGTCGCAACGGGGGGTCGTAAAGAGGGTACCTAAGGAGGGGGGGGGTCGTAAAAGAAGGTATTTAGGCTAAAATACTTCAAGTTCAAAAGGGAATCAAAAAGCAGATAATTAGTTATGTTCTTTACAATAAATCTGTAAAAAAGTGGAGATCAGAATAAAAAAAGATAAAAAATCTGTAAACATTCTCAAAAAAACGTTTACAAGAGCTCAAAACACTTTTGGAGGATGTATTATTTGATAAAAATGCTAAATGTGCCGTTTGACCTGGAAATCTTGCTTCTGAAGTCTCACATACTCGACAAAAGCGAATATGTTTACCAGCTGTGACTATCATAATTTTCTACATCTTTTTGTAATGTTTTTCACGGGCCCATATGATTTATCTGTACTTTGGAGATGCTTCGCTACATCAATGCAAAATTTGGTGTTATTTTGTCAACTGTGGATTTTTTTAAATTTTTATGTATGGTAGCAAAAAATCAGAAAAGGGGGTCGTATCTGGGTCGTATCTAAATTTCTTCGGAGCTATTGAAGCTTGTTGGATGCAACTCTGCTGTAATATGAGGCCATCCTCCTACTTTCTCTCATAAAAATTGCAGGCTGTTTTACAACTTCTCTGGTAAGTTACAAAATTTTAAGCTCAAAAATCCCTGTTTTTGCTTTCTAGGATCGCATCTAAATTTACGAGAGTCGCATCTAGATTTTTTCGAGCTTACTGCTCCTAAAGAGCTGAAATTTTTTCCATGGATAGTCTGGGCACTATACTACAGAAACTGTGTTTTGCAGCCTCCCAGTTTTTTCCTGACCTTAGTTACGAATTTTCAAACTACCGCGCTCATGCACAATTTTGACGTCGTTCTGGAAGGCGCTCAAGCGGTTTTTTTCGCGGGGAAAACTGTGGAAGAGGTAGGAAGGAAGCTTCTTAGTCGAAAACATCTTTTGTAGTTCAAGAATGTCATTTTCTTCTCCGTGCAGAAATTTGTGTCGCCTACGGGAATCGAATTTGCTGGTCTGAAGTATGCCTGAACATTCAAAAAAAAACTTGCAGATTCTCAAACATTATTGAAGGTATGTATGTGTGCTACAGATGCTGGACGCACCCATTGGCCTAAAAATTCTGCTTCCGAAACCTCACTGAAGTTCTCACGCAGGTGTTTTTTGAGATTGACATTCGTTTATGCAGGTTACCGCGAGGAATGTGGGCAGGGGTGGTAAGAGGGATAAATGGGGGAGGGAGAAGGGGGGTCGTAAATGAGGGTCCCGATCGCATCAAAACGCTTGACCCTGCCTCAGACCATCTGTGCCGGGCCCTGTACGCCGCGTGTCGCGATTCAATCGCCAAGGTTTCCATTCATTTTCATTTCACATTCAAAAATTTCGGGCTGGAAAAGTAACACAACCGAATGCAAATTGATCGGCATGGAATGATGCTGTAACGGTTGTCTCTCGCGAGAAGTTTTTCCGGGGCCTAAGAGGAAATTCATTTTGTTTTCATCACGCTATTGAACTGGTGCGAAAAACTGTACAGGGTGAGAATTTTTGATTCACCAACGCCTTTGCATTAGAGCAAGGTTTTGTGGCATGTCATACCGGGATAGCATGAAAAAAAAAAGGATTAGGAAGCGGTGAATGGATTAAAAATAGATCAATCCCGCTTAACCTTTGCTCAGCATTTCCTAGGAAGTCTTGCACATTGTCTCAAAACGGTGAAAAATCTTATCTTTAACTTTTTACACTATAAACTAAACTTTACTTGATTTTGTTTATACGTTGAACAGAAATTTTGTAACGTTTTCCATTTTCTTGCGAGACTATGAAAATGGCTGGCTTGACTTCCCCATAAAGAAGAGTATTGAAATCTCCCCTTTTCTACTTTTCATGCCTAGCGTCCCTTATTTCACTTCTATTATTGATACTGATTATTTGCTAATTCGTTGCCTCGTTATCAGATTATCAGGGAGTATACTCAAAACGACAGGACAGTACTCATTTGTTGTTTGATTTTATTTATTTTTATTCTAATACTTATTTATTAATTTCGAATTTGATGCCTTAATCTGGAAAAGCGAGAGATCATTGAGACATCAAGAAGTTTCTCGAAAGCTCTACAGCCATACATTAGACATGTACATCACTAATCAACATTCTCAATCCCTGACCACAGTCAACAATTTCAACGAAAGCTCTGGCTGAAAAAAAAAACTGCACAGCGGAATGACAGCTGTTCATAGCCAGTTGACAACCATGGAATGAATCAACACAAACTAAATAATGTCAAGGTAGGCAATCTGAATCAAAAAAGCAAAGAGCATTCATAGATGAAATTAGAATCTCAAATATTTTGTTTACTGATCCAAGCAAAAGTCATCAAATTTAGGAGTACGTAGAGAATTAGCTGCTTTACGTGATCATGTACCAGCTGTTCCGATTGTGCCAACTGCCGCGATATGGAATGCGAATAGTGCAGTCACGGTGCAAGCGCTTGCAAAGCACTCAGACACTCGCACCGGCCGGTACATCACCGACATTTCGGCCGGAACGATCGCCAGCCGGCCGCCAGCCGGCACTCGAACGGCCGCCGGCCGGTACCCGTACGGCCGCCGGCATGCGTCAGTGGCGCGACAAAATAGCACTGGGCCACAGCATTTTTTCTCTATCTAGCTTCCATTCAGCTCTGTAGCCTATATGGGGTGGTACGAATCTATAACAACATATTTATTACAGCCAAAAGGTACAATGCAAAGAGAGATTGAACAAACAACAAACATTGACACATTGTACACATATGCATGAAAAATACATTCAAAACTAAAAAGCAAGTGACCTTCCCATATACATTCAAAACTAAGTCGCAAGTGACTTTCCATATATACGAGAATATCATTTGATGCAAATGGTCATATCGTTGGACAACCTTTCCGGATCGGCTAAAAGGTCACATAATTTTGTTTTGTACTTCTGAATGCCATATTGAACTATTGATAAGCCGCATCCGATAACCTGTAAATGAAATAAACTATTGACAATTTTTAGCTTATACTAGAACTTACAGCTGTGCATAGAGTAGCGATAACGTCTGTTAGCAGAGCAATATCAAAACATAAGCGTTCACAAAACATGGTTAGGACAGATGATCGTATCGGTTCTAGAAAAAATACTGGGTAATTTCAATCAAATGTTAGTTAGGGAAAACTTACATCTGTTGGAGTGCTTCGAGCAGCTGTAAGCATCAGGTTAGCAGAAATGCGTTAGTATATCACATAGTGACTTAGCAGAAACCAACAGATCAACGATCACTAG